TAAATTCATACTGAGATCCAAGACGATTTTTCATATTATGGTCAAAAAATTCCAAAAGCTCAGTAAAGTATTAAGAGATGAAAAATTTTTACTAAACAAAGAAGAGAGTCTGAACTTTTTATGATATCTGTCCTTTCGATTGTAGACTGCATTGAAAATTTCCTAAAAAGATGGAGGAGAGAAAAGTGAAGAACAGAAATGTGGTTCTTTGGAAAAGATACTGATTTTAGAGAGACCGAAAATGTTAAATATTTTAAAGCATTTTGGAGAGAATGGAAAAAAAAAAACTTATTTTAAGAACATTTTCTTATTAGTGAAATTTCTGGGGCACTAATTTTTAAAGAATTTCCTTTTAATGATAATTTCATTTTAAAATTTCAGACATGCCTTCAAAGGAAAAAAGTAGTATATATATATATGGGCTTAATATAATGGTTGGTAATATATGTTTTGGAAATGAAATATTTGACAAAATTACAAAACCATTAAGAACTACATAAGATAGGAAGATGTGGACAAATTTGATAATTCCTGAAGGATACATTTCATTTTTTCTAAGAAGACTTTTTTCCATATATTTTTTCAATATTCTAAATACAGATTGAAATGAGAGGACAGAAGAAATCAAGGCAACTTGAGAGCATGGATGGTAGAACAAGGTTTTTTTGAATTTCAACAAAAGACAAAAAGATTAAGAGCTAATGTTTTTTAGATGTCAAGGACCATAATATCATTCGATGTAATATAGGACACGGTCATAAATTTGAAGACTCGATAGGACAGATTGAGGGAAAGAACAACGTAAAAGCAAAACAGACATTTTTGAAGTGATTTGGATGTTTATGGATGGTTGAATAGGTTTTGAAGAAAAAAAAAAAACAATACTCAAAAGAGCTATAAATTTTATCATAGGAAGATGGAGGGCCAAAAATCATCTACGTCCTGAAAGGACATTTTTAAAAAAAAAAAAAAAAAAAGTTCTTTATTTCTTTCAGTTTTTATATGATACCTGATTTGTTTAATTTTATTCGTTATTTTTTTTCAAGAGATTTCTTCTTATTTATTCTAAAATTACATGGGTGCTAATAATTGCGACCAGCATCATCTCTCGAATAGAACATATAAATGAATATTTTTTATATAACATATTTATACCACCTAAAACTTTTTAACCCATTTTGTTTTACAAACCTCCATTTAAATGAGCCGATGAACACCAGGATCGTTTTTTCCATTTTTGAATTTATTATAAATAAACACTTTTTTCGTTTTGATATTATTTATAATTTATATATATATAAATATATATATATATATATATATATATATATATATATATATATCTATATTTTTTATTCAAAAAAAAATATTTATAAATTTTAATCTAAATTTTGGTTGTTAAATCAAAAAGTTAATGATAATTTAAATGATCTGCGTTCCTACGCCTGAATTTGAATCTCATATTCACATTTAAAATCGGTGTCCGGATATTATCTTTTTTTCTTTTCAATCAACATTTATTTTCGTCGGACAGATAACATCTTTTTTAACTGGAATTAATGGCGGAGGAATTCTTCTCTTTCAACATAACAGGGTAGTTATGGACAGCTTTGCCTTTTATATAGATAAGAAAAATTAACATTTTTGGTGAATAATTCTGTAATTCTTTCGAAAAACACAAAATATTACACAATTTAAATTGAAATTTCATGTTTTCCTTGTGACAACAATTTTATCATTGTTTTTTTTTTTTAAATTTAAAAAAAAAATATCCACGGATACGCTTTGGTTCAGTCTGAGTTATCCGTTTATCTAATATCAAGGAATAAACAATTCATAAGTTTCATTTATTAATCGTCCCAAAGCAACAGAAGAGTGATACCAAAGGGAAGCTATAAAATGAAAAGGTTAAAGGTCGAAAAATTGAAGAAAAATAAAATAAAATATATAGAATATGAGGTATATAAATCAATTTTTTTTTATCCGTCGAAAAAGACTGATTTATCTTTGCTATTTTTCAATTCCATTATTAATTATGTCAAATAGTACCAGTGGAAATTTCATGCTTTTCAAATTTTCACTGAAATCAATCATATATTCATATGGATTTTTTTCCATATTTCCTCGTGATCAGTGTCCAAATTAATATAATGAGGTATTAGCAATGCGTTTCTTTTTTTCTTCCTTCCTTTCTTTCTAATTTCTTCCTTTTCTCTTACTTTCTTTCATTCTTTTTTCTTCCTTCCTTTCTTTCTTCTTTATTTTTGATTCTTTCTTTCTTTCTTTTCTTTTAATGGAAATTTCAACATCCAACAGCGTCTCATTTATTCTCCTTCCATCTTTCCTAGTTATCAAAGTGGAACAATTTCTTATTGTTGAAACTTGACTAATGCATGGAATAATAATACAACACAAAATGTACTTAGAACAAAATGTATTGAAACAAGAAAATTACACACAATATTTACATATAGTCTTTTTGTATATTCCTGGGAAGACCGTTCCTGGAGAATGTTTGACTTAGTCGCAGTCGGGCAGAGTCTCTGGATTGAATCTCTTGATTCCTCCCTTCTTCCCGGTACCAACCATATTTATATGGTCGGTAAATCACTATGTAAATTAGGTGGATCCTACCACAACATTTATTCATGAAGTAATGAGCAATGCGTCTGTTTTTTTTTTTTCTTCTTTTCTTTTCTTTTCTTCTTTCTTTTTTTATCTTTCTTTCATTCTTTTTTCTTTCTTTTGTTTTTTTTTTTTTTTCAAAATCCAACAAAAAAATTGATATGTCTTTTCCATCTTTCCTCGTGATCAAAGCATTTACAGTTCATTATTTATATATAACTGCCAGGGCGTTACATATTAAGTATTTATATATTTATTAAGCTGCAGTATCTTTCATGTTTGAACGCAATCTTAAATCCTGAAGATTGCGTACAGTCACGCAAGAAACTGCCTACAGATGAGCTGGCTAGGTGTAGCCGTAAGTTCTATGCTAACAGTTTCTTCACTCGCACTTCTCGCTTGTGAAACACTCCTCCTGCCCCATGTTTTCAAGCCAACTTTAATCTGCAAAAATTTCAATGCAATCTCAATCGCTGTCTACTATCTTCCTGATTTTAAAATTTTTTTTCTTCTCATTATTAACGTCTCTTTTCCTAAATATACACATGCTGTAAACCCTTGCTTGCTAGTGGCTGTATTTTTTATTTGAGTTGGGGTGATTCCAATTTTAGGGTGATATATATATATATATATATATATATATATATATATATATAGAGAGAGAGAGAGAGAGAGAGAGATAAAAATATTAGTGGTAAATATACACATACATATGCAAAATATATAAATATATATACATAGGTGCATACACATACATATATATTTTTTTGATAAAAATTCCAAGAAAAAATAGAATCAAACATTAAACTCAATATCCAGGAAAAGAGTAATTTTAATAAAAATTTAAAACATTAAGTATTCCATTTTTTGATAATTTATTCCATTGGAATTGTAAATCATATCCTACAAATTACAAATTCAAAAACTATTTTTCTGTTTTCTTTTTCTGTTTTCTTTTTGTGTAGGTCTGATTGAATTAGATCGTATTTACGATTCCAATGGAATAAATTATGACCATGGAATATTAGTGTTTAAGAGCCTTTATCATATATATATATATATATATATATATATATATATATATATATATATTAGCATCTTACAAAAAAAATAAATAAGAATCAAACATGACTGTAGTCGTGTTTCAAACGTATTGAGCCCTTTTTTAAATTAAATGTTACGAACATTGAAGTGTACTTTATTCGTTGTCATCGTATTTGATATATATATATATATATATATATATATATATATATATATATATATATCATATATATATAACTAAAACGTGTTATCAGAAAATTCTGATATAAATAAAATATAACTGTGAATAAGCAATATGTATTACGACAAAAGGAAAACTAACAATATTTTTTCTGCTTATATATGGATTATAAAATTCATTAAGATATTAGATTACGGAGAATATTTTTCTAACTATTTAAGATTCTTTAGTAGTTAAAAAAAAGGCGCTCAACTTATAAAATCCAAACGACGCTCCGCTGTTTTTGAATTCAGAGTTCTTCTAGATCGGTTGCCACCCAAGGCTATAGGACCCACTCTGTTATGTTATTTACCCATAGCTGGGGGAGAAGAGATGAATTTATACCATTCCCATAAGTGAATGTAACGAACTCGACTGGAATTCGAACTCGAATCTTCGATTCCTCGCCATTACTCTATCGTTGTCCTAATTTTTGTTGCCATATACACGACATTTCGACAGTTGATATACGCTGGAATTTCGAACCGAACACTTTATTTAGTCCACGGGGGTAGATTGTTCTAATTCCACGTGCCATGCCTTTTTTGATATCCCAGTTTCAGTTAATTCCCTTTAGAAACTCAACTCTCCAAGTTTTTGTTCACCTCTGCTGTGGCCAGGTATTGAAATCACAACACTTTGGGTCAAGTCACATTTTGGATTACATATCCAACGCTTTTTTTTTTTCACTGGACTATGTTGAGAGTTCAATAAAGGACTCTGTTCGAAATTCCAGCGTATATCACCTGAAGAAAGCCGGGGCGTATAATGGCCGAAACGTCGTGAATATGACAATAAAGAGGAGGGCGAATGACTTAAATAGCGTAAATACGAATCGATTTCCAGGTTTTAACCCCCGGTCAGTCAAATATCAGATACTTTGAGAATGGTTCCGACACTTTTATGTTATCATGTGTAACGGAGTAGAAAACAAAGAAATTTATCAAGAGATCTCTCGTCAACTGCTCCCTGAAAATCTAAGTTCTGAATCACTAGTCGATTCTATAGCAGAGTAAGAAAGCCAAAGATATGGAACTCTAATTTGTAATATATCGTTAACGTCTGCTATTAGTTTAAATTTTCGCATTCACACTTTGTATTGATATACAAAATGTTTTTTTTCTGTCTTTCTTCCGAATATATTCGTTTTTCCAAACAGTCTCTTCTCTTCTTTTTCTCTAATAAAATATTTTTCTTCCTTTTTTCTCTTGTATTTTTCTTTTTTTTTAATCAGCTTCTTACTCTATCTTTTTCCCCTTTATTAGTATTTTTCCCTCTCTTTCTTTGCAAAGACTTTCTTTCCAGTGTCTTTCTCTCTCTTTTCTCACTCGATTTCTTACACATTTTCTAACACTTTCTCTCTCTCTCTCCCCTAGGTCTTAACCTTTCTCTCTCTCTCTCTCTCCAATGCTTTTCCTTCTCTTCCTCCATAAACGTCTCACTTTCACATTCTCCATGATTTATAGATAAATCTCTCTCTCTCTCTCTCTCACTCCGATGCCTTTCTCTCTCTTTCTCTTCAAGTTCTTACTCTGTCTTTCTCCCTTATTTATAACTCTCTATTTTTCTCTCATGTGTGTCTCTCTTTTTCTCTCCTATTTCTTAAACTCTAATCTCTTGAATGTATTACTCTCTTTTTTCTCTCCCGAATTTTTCTTTCTCTTTTTTTAATCAGTGTCTTATTCCATCTTTTCCCCCAGCATTTTCCATCTCTTTCCTTGCTAAGTCTTTCTTTCCAGTGTCTTTTTCTCTCTTTCTCTAACATTTTGTCTCTCTCTCTCTCTCACTCTCTCTCTCTCTCTCTCCTAGGTCTTACTTTCTACTTGTCCCCTACACTCTTTCTCGCCAATGCTTTTCTCTCCCTTGCTCCACGAACGTCATATTTTCACATTCTCCATGAATTATAGCTCTCTCTTTCCCTCCAGTGCCTTTCTCTCTCTTTCTCTTCAAGGTCTTACTGTGTCTTTCTCCCTTATTTATAACTCCTTTTCTCGCCAGTATTTTTCTTTCTCTTTCTCTAATGCTTTCTTTCTTTCCGCCAAAATTCTTCTCTAGTTTTTTTAAGAATTCTTCGTGACTCTTGTCTTTCTCTCTTTCCATCCCCCTCCATCTCTTTCTCTACAGTATTTTACTCTTTCTCTCTTTGTCTTTAATTTGTTTATCTCGCTGTTGCTTTCCTCTCTTTCTCTTCAATGTCTTTTTCTTTCTTTCTTTCTTTTTTTCTTTCTTTCTTTCTTTCAATTAACTTTTTATTTCTTTACTTCTTTCTTTTATTAATTTTTGATTATTTGTTGCCTTCTTCCTGTTTAAGTCTTTCTTTTCTTTCTTTTCTTTCTTTTTTTTTCTTTCTTTTTTTCTTTCTTTCCCTGAAATTTTCTTTCGTATTTTAATCTTTCTTCCTTCTTTTCTTCCTTTTCTTTCTTTCAGTTAACTTAATTATTTCCTTCTTTCTTTCTTTTTCTTTCTTTTTTTTTATTCTTTCTTTCTTTCTTTCCAATCTTTTATTTTATCTATCTTTCTATTTTTTTAGCTCTCTTTTCTTTCTCTCTTTCTCCCTAATATCTTACTATCGCTTTCCCGTGAATTTCTTTATCTTTCTCTTTCTCTCGGTATTTCTCTCTCTCTCTTTCTACCCGATTTATTACTATCTCTTTCTCACTTATTTATCTCTCTCTCTTTTCCTCCGCGATATGTTTCTATCTCTCCCCAATCTCTCACTCTTTTTCTTTCCCTTCTGTCATTTCTTTCTTTCTTTCTTTCTTTCTTTCTTTCTTTCTTTCTTTCTTTCTTTCTTTCTTTCAATTAACTTTTTATTTCTTTACTTCTTTCTTTTATTAATTTTTTGATTATTTGTTGCCTTCTTCCTGTTTAAGTCTTTCTTTCTTTCTTTCTTTCTTTCTTTCTTTCTTTCTTTCTTTCTTTCTTTCCCTGCAATTTTCTTTCGTATTTTAATCTTTCTTCCTTCTTTCTTCCTTTCTTTCTTTCAGTTAACTTAATTATTTCCTTCTTTCTTTCTTTCTTTCTTTCTTTCTTTCTTTCTTTCTTTCTTTCCCTGAAATTTTCTTTCGTATTTTAA